ATCTATGCTACTACACAAATCCTACAGCAGTAATGCGCTGTATTTCAACAGAGCGAAGCCGGGAAGGGAAAGAGTCGGACAGGGGGGGAGAGGGCGTTCTTCTTGTATGGTTGGCCACGACAGCCACGTTTCGTTGTTGTTGTCGTTGCTGGTGTTTGTTGTTGTTGCTGTTGTTCAACATTAGGCTCCTTCGCTGGAGACGCTTGGAGTCCTTTGGATCCAAGTCCCGCCGTGTCCCGCCATTAGTGCTTGCTCGTTTACTTGGAGCAACGGTGTGCATGAAGGTTTCTCGAGCGTCTTATATCTGATGCTTCCGCACTTCGGGCAGCTCGTGTGCACCTTGCCTCTCACTGCTTGTCGTGTGTCTGGAAATCTAGCTATCAAGGTTACTTTTGTTAACAACCAACCGCAAGCGAGGAGTGCTACCCGATCGCCAGCACCACCTATTACTGACTGTGATCATAGAGCGAAGACGACCTACAGGAATATGATCGTGGAAAAGAACGCCACAAATGTTTGCAACGAAGAAAAGAGACGTCAACCCGAACAAGACCTATTCACGGAGTCTCATGCCTTCAATTTCTTTCCCGAGAGTTTCCACCACATTTGGAGAGGAAGTGCCAGCTTCATGAAGCAGTGCTCCGAGGGGGGTGTCGTTGGTCGTGTACATACTGCAGGAGGTTATTCTAATTTCCTCATATTGCGTGTCCCTATTTGACCTTATACTGTGCACGCTGTGCACCACATAGACTACCCACGTATTCATCCTCCACACGTGGCTACAGGTTGCTGGGAATCGGACGTCATGGGTTGGATGGCATCCCCTGCTGCCGCATGTACATTAAACACGTGGAGTAAGCACCAAACCGCTTTACGTATGGAGTAGACTATATGTGGTCCAGTTCGTCCAACGTCCAATAAACCAATGGAGTCGGCTGTACAACGTACGACAGTGTGTACAGCAGCACTGTAGGTTCTTGCGAAACGATCTCAAAGCAGTGTACATAATAACCGGTCGCCCCGGTGGTCTAGTGGGTAACCTCGCAGCCTGCTTAGGGCCAGGTCATGGGTTCGAGTACCGGCAGAGTGAGATATTTTCTCACTAAATTAGTCTAGTCCTGGTCTTCTAGGATGAAAGCGACGCGCTGCAAATTTTGCTCGTTGTTAGTAAACCATAATCGACTTCGTAAGTCGCGAGGGAAGGGATTGCTGTACCCTTCTCGCGATAAAAATACCTCAGGCAGGAACCGCAGGAGGGGGTCCAGCCCCCCCCTCCTATGTGACCCCGGTTGGGTCGTCTAGCTAGTAGAAGTGGAGGATAGGGGCCAGAGGGGCGGACGACAGAGTCCAATGATGAGAGACAAAAAAACAAATATACATGTACAACAGTTTCACCGCAGAAACAACACAAAACACCAGACACCACGCCTGTCGCGTTGCCTCCTAGCAGCAGTGGTGCGGGTACATCTTCCACCGAATGCGCGACTTCTGAGGCCCCTGATCTACTTCTGTAGAACGGGCGTGCGTGAATCGTATGTTGTCTTCCCGTTTGTCTCGTCCACAGCAGTGCAGCACTGATAGTGTCTACAGCAGAAGTAGCTGTTTTTTCGAACAGTAGCAACGGTTTTGCGTCCAGGATGACAAATTATCATGCGTAGAATCATAGTCTAGTGTTTCTACACATGGCTTACTGCTGCACATGCCTGTGTTGTTTCCATGTTGCCACTGTTGAATGGCCCCAAGCCTAGTGCTGCTGGATGAGCACGGCTGACCCGGTTGACAAACGTGAAGAGATGGTTAAGACGTTTTATTGGTTGTCCTTGTAGACACAACCCACGGAAGAGAGTGAGCACAGGGTGCATCACAAACACCGAGGCACTCGTGCAACAGCCGCAAGAAATTCCCCGCAGAAAAGACGCATTCGGAACTCGGAACACGCGACAGCGGAACACGTGACAACTTGTCAAAGATATGATCGGAGATACCCCGAAGATCCAAGATCGGTGAACAGCCACTACTTGCGCACTTGCATGTAGCTCAAAACCACGCATGAGTATCGCCACAGTAGCCTTCGTAAGGATGGCATAATCCACCTCACGAACAGCCACCGAGCAACATTCGGTATGTTCGTATCTTCCGCATTCGCACAAGACTGTCACAAGACTGTCAGACAGCAACAACGTCGCATTTTTTGTTTGATTTTTCCTTATCTTTCCAGCCTGCATGTGGCTGGTCTCGCCCCTTAGTCTACTCACGGCGGAAAAAGGGCGTCACAATCCCCTCTACACCGAAGACCAGACCGGGGAGCGACTTATCGCATCATGCGATACCATTGTCGCACGCCAAGCACATTTCGGGGTCGGGGTACAACAACAGTCGCTTTTCGGAGGAGTCTTGCGAACGGAACCTTGACTCGAGTGCCACGTGCGCACAAACAAGCTGTTCTGTGGTGTCTGGGCCGCCGGTAGCAGGCTCATCTCCAAAACTCCAGACGATTGTGCCGACCGGTACATAGCTTACCAACGTCACGAAGCCACCTGTGACCTGGCACTGTAGACTTCTCCTGTACATATGTTCTGCTGTAGAAAAGTGCGTAAAAAGTTCTACGTACTTTCGCGACGTGCCCCCTGTGGTCTGCGCCCGGCTGTTCACTCATATTCACTCAAATATAGGGAATTCAGCGGTAAGAACTCGGTACCATGCGACTCAAGTGACGGGTTGTTCGCACGGAGGGTTCAGATCTGGCCCATGTCTTCAGCAGCCAACAAAACTTCCGCACACAACGGGAGTTCATATCCTGAATTCGGAATACTGCTCCATGAAACAAGTGCCACCAAATATATGCCATGCACGGACGGCTGTACATGGGAATCGACAATGAAAGGCAACCAACCATCTCAGACAATACGAATCGAGCAAGACGACAAACAAATGCCCGAGGACTATAATAGTATGACAAACCTTGTCTCGGGGGAGCAAAAAGAAACCACCACACTTACCTCTGAACCGACGACGAAACAAATCGAACCATTTCCGTACGGAGACAACACTGCTCATTCTGCTCTGAACTGCAACACCGCCTGGCGTCTATCATCTTCAGTACGGTGAGGACAGTCTCACCTACAGCCTGCTCATCGGATGTACCTCACACAATGTAACGCGCACCACACAACAATCAAAATGAATATCGCGGCGGGTACCACGACGGTGACCTACCCGCAGCATCCCCACCACTCGAAAGACACGAACAATATGGGGGACATGACGGTGCGGGTAGGCAGTACAACACACACATCGTAGCCTCTCTCGGCAGAGCAAGAACTCACTTCGGCGAAGGTTCGGTCAATTAAAGACATACAACTTAAATTTACTTTGTTGTGGGATGGGCCACGGCACGACAGAACAAAACATCGAGCACCCTGTTGTTTTCATCACAACCGGCAAGATACAGGAATGAAAAAATGTGGGTCTCTCAAGCAGTGCAATCGTTACGAACTCCTTGAAGATCCACGCAGGACATGAGGACTACACCCAATGTAGGGCACAAGAATGAAGTTAGACTACACGAGGAATGAGATTTCGGGAGCTTCCACATGCCTAAGGCTGCTTTGTAGGACACGACGACATGGTGTGTCTGGTGAAAAGATCATTGCCGTGGTTTGGCAGTCACTGTCGCCTTCCTCCTCAGCGAAGGGGAGTAGAACCAACCGATATCCTGAGGTTTATCAGTAGCGCATGAAAGTGCTGAGCGCCAGGTTGCTCCCGCAGACGTGCCGGGGGTCACCGCTGCACGGCATGTCGCAAGTCGCCGTTCCGTGCTTGGTGAAGTCGTCGTCAGCATCTCCGCAGAAGCACCTACCGCCATATATACACGTTTTGAAGACATGCATGAATAGGTAACGGGTTCATTCATTAAGGCTCGCTCCTTCACTCCTCATGATCTCTTTTTCTATTAAATCATTTTCGTCCCAGACACAGCTACACTATAAAAACTATTTATAATTTAGCAGGAGGTTCTCGCCAAGAAGGTTTACCAAGTGCACACGGAACACGTACGAACGGTTGTCTGCACCTTACTGATCGGCCGCGCAGTACAACACCAATCGTCGATGATTCCTCGGCCCGTATATACGGGAGACCAATCCGCCGCAGTTGACCTCCGCTGTCTGCGACCGCGGAAACTATTTGCTGAAAACCACGCCTGCTGAACAGTAAACACGCCTAAAAGCCTGGTAGCACTCACTCTTTGCCCCACTGCACGCCGAAGTACTTGGCCTTGGCCTTGGCACAGTAGCTCTCGCACCACTGAGGGACACCATAACGTCGTCGGCAGAGAAGAGGGTGAGGGGTGGGGGGTGGGTGGGGGGTACTCATGTTTCGCATGCCGTAGCGGTTAGGCCATTGGCCAGGAGGGGGATCAATCGCGGGTTGACAACAGCTGCAAAGAGAATGGATGGACATACTATTGGCTTTGTTCGGCGGCGAATAGACGACCGGTATTCATGATACTACGAGCTCCGGTACTCTACCCGGGAAGTCAACTTGTGGAGGCCCCGCGGGTGGAAGGCTTCGGGTTACAGGGTTGTTAGGGTTGGGTCCCATGAAGCACGCATCGCCAAGAGCCCAACACAAGAACATACGGGGAGTTCGTGACGAAGAAAGCATAGGATGCGACCGCATTCGACCTGTCGCTTCGAAACTTATCGCTCGGCGTCGTTTCGCACAACAACGTGACGTCCCTGGCGTGTCAAATGCTTCGAGTCTATTGCTTGGCGTCCTTTCGCAGGGCAACAACGAATGTTGCCGTTGGCGTGTGAACGGTGACCTACCTCAAGCGTCAAGTCGTTGCTCGACGTCTGCTTCTTGGACAGCGCCCGGTTGAACCGGTTGTCCTTGAAGCAGCCGAGGTACCTGGTTCCCTCCGGGATGTCGACGGGGCTGGCGCTGCCGTGCTGGTACAGAGACATGGCCCACGGACCTCCGCAGGTCTTGTCCTTGTCTCCGGAGCACGCCATGTTGCAGGTGGCCGAGCCGTGACGGAACATGTCCTCGACGTCCTCGCCAGCACCGGTGCCGCACCAGCACTGTTGCGGTTCGAGGAGAGCGTTGGGCCGCAAGGGGGGGCGTACTCATGTTTTACATGCCTTATTGGGATGAGACCACGCGTCCTCGAGCGTGGAGTGCGATGACGAACGGAGCAGAGTGAGGTGATACGTTTCATGAGCTGGTGTAGAGGTAACGAATCGCTGATCGGCTACAATTTTCACATTGAGCGAATGGTGATTGTAAGGGCGGCGGCGCGGCAAAGCAGCGGTCGAGAGACATCATTGTCCCCCCTTATGGTCATGTTGTCCACCATGAATAATACTGCGGCAGTAGCCTACGCGGGGCTAGCCACGAGGCACCCTGAGGGACATTGCAGGTTAACGTCGGAGCCAACACCGCGGGGGATGTCTCTAATACATAGTCTAATGAGTCAATACTGCCCCAATGCATTGATGACACAAACCAGAGGCTTGTGTTCGAGCCGAGCAAACAAGCAGGGCAGCAACGTCATCAGAAACCCTGTAACGTTCCACATTGGTCCACAAGCTACCAATGACCTCTCTTCGATGCGTTCGAACGAGAAGAACAGCTCACAGTGGCGGCTACGGGTTAAGAGACTATTTGAGAGAAAGTACCAATTGAAGAGAGTCAAGGCTTGTCACGACCATGGGAAATGCATACATGTCACAATACGATTTAAGAGAACATCGGATTTAAGAGAAGATACTGGCTTGTCACGACCCTCTCTTGAAACGTAGCCGCCACTGTACTGCAGTTGCTCGCAATAGTCCAAAGCCACTCACCTCAATACCGTGTTGCATCCCGAAGAAGGCCTCACTCTCGCAGTACTTAGAGCATTTCTTTCAAATTTACGCGACGGTGAAGCGTCGAAAAAACAACGGAACAAGGGGACGATCAGGAACCGTCTTACACAACGATAGGGCAGGCGGGAGGGACGTACTGCAGGAGCTCTAATTTGTGGTACAGGTCTTCCTTGGCAAAGAGCGATGGGTACAATGTGAGGCAATGTTAGGCGAGTACTACGTTTCGAGGAACCAAGCATCTTGATCATGCGCGGTTCAACCTGGAGGAAATGGAAGAAGGCGAACTACCAAAGACAACCGAACCAACTACGTTAGCACGCGTCGTTGCCGTGTGCATTCACACCCCTTTCCGGGTACATGGCAACCACGACAAATATTAACCAATAATCGAACTACCACACTGTTGCATCTGGGCGCGCCCAACATGACGGCTTCCGGTTTGCCGCGCAAGAAAAATACAACCCCTGGACCAAACTTCACGACGAAGAGGATGCCGACATCAAATGACACGTTTTCGAAAAACTCTCGACGAGACGATTCCAACACCGCCATCTTCACCGTCATCGTTAGGGTCAGGGTTAGATTGTGGTGTACCCCCTCTGATAGGCAACCGCCTCACCTCGGGCGTCAAGTCTTCGAAGCGGTAGATGTTGTCCAGCAGGCGGTCGTGACGGGCGTCCTTCGCACACCCGAGGGACGTGATGCCCTGGGGGGGGCCGTGGTTGATGTCGCCGACGGAGCTTGTCCTGAGCAGTCCGTTGGGACCCTGGATGGAGATGTTCTTGTACTCCACTTCCCCGTCGGCGACCTACGGAGGAGGGATAGAGCGATTGGTTGTTGGACTAGAGCGGCCGTCGAGGGAGGAAGAAGCGGAGTTCGTTTCGAGCGCACGCACGAGAATTTCTAGTCTCCTGCCCATACGATGAGAGTTGATACAATATAAAGAAATGCATTAACCAGGAACTGCAGTCAAGTCCTGTCTAACATCCTTGGATACGTTGGTCCTTACTGAAAAGATCTCAGCGCAACAGATCTCACAGGCAGCACACGGAGAGTACATGCCGATACAGCTGTTCCATACCTTTCGACTAGGTTTGTATTGTTCGTCACCAATCAGCAGCAGCAGAATTCCTTTCTTTTCCGTGATATTTTGCCACATTTTCAAGTGGAACAAACATTGCAACGAGCAACTTGATCGTTCGCAGCGTCTCGGGGCACATCAAAGCTGCCAAACCGTCCAAAGATCGCGTACTGGCCAGGAATATCCTGCCCTACGAGCACCCCACCTTGTTCTTGATGTGGTAGAGGCCGAGCTTGAACATTATCGTGTCGGCGTCGTCGCTCCAGGCGACGGGCTTGTAGCTGGAAGGCCACACCGCCTTACCCTTCACCGCGCCCGAGAAGTAGACCTTTGTTGCGATAGGGTTAGGGTTAGGGTAGGGTTAGGGTAAGGGTAAGGGTATCCACAGAGACAGACGAGGCGGGCGGTGTAGCGAGTCTCGCCTCAAATTATCGCTCCATCAAATTGAGCTCGTACGAAAGGTAGATCATTGATATGTCAAAAATGCTCCCGAACTAGCAGCATCTCATACGAATGGACATTTTATTGCCAAAACATCCAGATTGACTGAGAAACCATCTCTGTCTGCGGACAATGTTGGGGGAAAGTGCCTGCTTCCCACGCAACACGTCGGTACGATCCTATGAGCGTCCTTCGTTGTCATAGACCCACACATTCCCACCATCAGTTGCCACTACGGTATGTTGAGCACATGGTGTGGTGCAACTCCGGTTTCCTTGGGGAATATGCTCAGTTCACGCTTCTTGATATGATGATGTCGACACGTAGTCTCGTTGGATGTTCAATGTGCACTGCGTAATAGAGGCAGCGCAAACCATGGGCTGCAGAAGATACCACGAGCGTTTCCAAAGGTCCATCACTCCACAACGACGAGGGTGCCAACGTCAAGCAACACGTTGTTGGAAAGCTCTCGACAACACGGTCGGTCCCAACACCATTTTCAGCACAACTAGCCTTTGTGACGCAGAGTATTGATACTTGTCCGTCCCGGGGCATGTGTGATATATCACGCAACCTACGCAAACACACACACACCTCCATGGACTTCCCGAAGGTCGTCTGGATTTCGACGTGAACCCACTCTCCTGTGGCGTCCTCCCAGCTCAGGAACTCGTCCATACCCTCGACGTTGTCGTCGTCTTCGTTGTTGAAGCGGACGTTGATCCCGTTGTTGTTGGCCGTGACGGAGAACAGGGGGTTTCCCTTGAGCTGGAAGCCGCCCGAAACGCCCTTCATCTGACCCAACCGGGTGGAGGAGCCGGAGACCTTCATGCCGTCCTTCGCCCTAAAGCTGTACTTGAAGATGTACGTCTCGCCTTTAGGGTGTGGCAGGAAACCGGGGGGGCGTACTCGTTTTGTTATGCATGCCTTAGCGGTTAGACCATTGACCACGCGTCCTCGAGAGGACGGGACATTTTTCGGCACAAGACCCATCACCGATGGCCAACCGTTCCTTCCTACTTAGCCAAGAAGGAGGCGCAAAAATATGTATTCCCTAGCCCACCTGTATGGCATCCCCGTTGAAGGTTGAGGGTCTTGGCAGATACATGCGTGCTTCGTGGTCAAGCCATTTATCCTTAAAGCTACCATGTGCTCTTGGGGGGTTTTTCCTGCATCTACAGTATTTCCGATCAAAGGTGGCGCTTATGTTGAGGTTGCGGTAGATGACACTACACGTCCTTTCCAAACGCGGCACGCTGCAGTCTATAGAGTATGGGCGTGTATCGTCATTTACCGCAACTGAACGATAGGCGCCACTTGACCGGAGATAAATGCAGGACACCTAACCCCACAAATAGACCACCAAGCATGTGTGTGCCAAGAAGGTAGGTTTACTGATGCTCGCCTCTCGCTTCCTAGTCACCCGCTCTTGAGAGAGCGACGACATTCGTTTCACAAGTAGAACGTTTTTATCCGACGCTGCTTTCGTCGGGCCATGCTGGAGCGGGGCTTACCCTTCGCGAACTGGAAACCCCCGACGCCCTTCTGCGCCAAGACTTCTGCGCGCTCTTTCTCCTTGGGAACGATGAACCTGGTGAAAAAATAAGAGACCGAACGGGTCGCACACCGTACAGGATGACATGCTTCTTCCTAATATGTTCAATGGCCTGGAACGAAAGGGCCATGGATAAAGAATACATCACGTCACGGCCAGAGGTTTTGAACAGCCAACATGGCGTCGTTCGGGATTCTTCGTCTCCTTCACACTCAATGCCGGGCGCGTGCTTACCAAGATCTAACATGTGAAACAAGACGCGCGTTTGAGAGAGAGCGTGGGCAAAGGTCGATTCACACGCTCAGACATGCACAATGTCCAATGACAGGCAGTGGGGAGGGAAGCAGGCCCCACGTAAAGGACCTGAGCCGACCCCGCAATGCGGATCCACTTGATAAGACAACGTAAAGCACACCAAATCTCCGCATGCTCTGCCCATACATTGCAAGCGAAAACAGACTGCCCGTGAGGGGTGGAGCGCGAAGGACACGTCAAGAGCCAAGGCGGGAGCGTGAGCGCGGGCCCTAAAGCACGTCCGCTCGCTTTTCGCAGCGAACGACCGGAACAACGGAACAACGAAAGTATTCTTACTCTTACTCTAAAGCGAAACAAATGCGCTGACCCTACTACTACTCTTACTCTAAAGCGAAACAAAAACGCTGGTCTCTCCATGGGATCCACTGCGAGGCAGAAGGCAGCGTCTGCTGTGTCGGCGATCGGGGGAGCTTGTCACTTGAGGCCTGAGCCAAAGGTTCATGCATGCACTAAATGTAAAACAGGCGATGGATAATGCATTTAGACAACGGATTGCCAAGGCTGCGGCGAACCAGGCGAATGCCTCGAGTTTAGTGTCTAGACTATGCACAAATTCAAAGGCTATGGCAAACTGTTACCTCGAACAAGGCTCAGCGTCCGTGCCGGAAGGACACGACACCAGCTTCCCTCCCCGAGCCTCGACCTCCGCCAGGGAGCCGACGCCGAACATGCAGTTCCAGTCGATCGTACTGCCGCTGGAGGGCGGGCACGTGGTGCCTGACACTGAGCACTGTCCCGTTTGGATGGGATGGGCAGGAGGAATGCAGGCACACGAGACGGGGGCGGCATTGGTCCGGCAGACAAACGGGGAGAAGAATGAAATAAGAGGGTCGAAATGGGTTTGTCACGGACTCCACCCGCTTTAGTATAGCTAGGTACCCTCTTACACTCCGGTATAAGGGGGGGCTTCGACATACGAGGTTCGAGGGCCTTGGTCACACCACCCTCTATCGGAGCCACCACTGTAATTCAACACGGGATGAAATGTGGGTCTTCCCGGCCGCGAGATCAAGACACCGCGACAACAGACTATACTCACACTGCCAAAGGTGCTGCACGAGTGGATGTGGATGTCCGAGGGAGGGCTCGTCCGGATGATCCCGTTCGGTCCCTCGATCGAGATGTCCTGGTAGATGACCTCCTGGTCATGAACCTGCGGATTTGTAGGTGAATCGATGCACGTTGTCGGTTTCGGTGGATCTTGAGCTTTCTTTTCGGTTTCGGTGGTGGATCATGATCTGTTTTGGAGATAATTTGGCCAGAAGTGCATGGGCCGTCTGTTCGGGGCCTCGACTAGGTAACACAGGTGGAAAGCTCCTTAGATTCGTCTTCGGTCTCCGGATGGAATGTATATGCGAGAAGCAAAAAGGGCAACACAACACATTAGAATGACCGGTTCGTCGAAACCTTTGTAGGTTTACGTGTTAGTCACGAAGATACCAAGATTAAGGAAGAGAAAACGCGTGTTCTTTTGCCGAACATCATGTTCCTGCAAGGCTGTGTTGAGCACAGGATCGCCGTTCTTTGAATAAGAATCGCCAATCAAGTTTCACCATCAAGACCATCAAATGACGCAAAGCTTCACAAAAACAAAAGAAAACACGCTCGATACTGCTATTCGCCCGAGCATCATCGAACGAGACTGCGGCCTTGCAATACCCACAAATTGGTATCATGCCGCTACTACCGCCAATTCCATCATACGTCGCCGATATTGAGTGGCGAAATATGGAGGACGGTACTTCCTCAAGTACATTGAACGTGTGGAATAGTATTTGCTAGCCCGAAGACAACATTCTAGAGGCGGCCGGTCGGGCATCCAAGTGAAGCAGGGTAGGGAGACGTACATTGTGAATGGAATGGTAGAGACCCAGCTTCATCCGGACCATTTCGGAGTCGCGGTGCCAGGCCACGGGCTTGAGGTCACTCGGCCAGACAGCCGTTCCGCTGACGGCTCCTGAGATGTTCACCTGTTGTCAACGGGCGAATAAAAAGATTCCGGGGAAATACAGGAAATCAAGATAATCACCTAACGTATGTTTTGGAAGGTCACTCCGGAGATGTTGACCTGTTCCGAAGGCGCGAAGAAAATGTTTGCCGGGACCTGCTAAAATCAAGGTACTCATTCCTCATTCTAACGTACTTGTTCAAAGGCGCAGCTGCAAGAGGTGAAGAGCCTTGTCGTGTCAAAACCTTCGGCGCAAGACAAAGCACGCGCCTGACAGCCGAGACCATCTCGTCGCACCTGCTCAGTTGCTGCTCATGTTGTGTTGCAGGGTTTAAACACTTATTACAGACATTGCTTTACCCTCCTGTCATACTCATGGCATGCTCATGTTGTGTTGCACCGGTCGATCGGCCTGTCAAGAACGTCCTATTTAAGTCACACGACTAAAATGACGTTTCACAAAGTCGTTTCGACGTACCACCATGGACTTCCCGAAGGTGGTGATGATCTCCACGTGCACCCACTCCCCCGTGACGGCATCCCAATCCAGCGGCATGTCCAAGCCGTCATGGTAGTCTTCGATGGTCTCCAAGTTGCTGAAGCGAACGTGCAGCCCGTGCTTGTTGGCGGTGAGGGAGTAGATCGGGTCGCCCTTGATCATGTAGCCACCCGCCGAGCCCTTGAGCTGAAGGGATAGCAGTGTTCAATCCAAGCAACGGCGACATAGACTATATGAGGAAACTTATGCTTACAACGATCAAAGAATAACCACCCGTTCGAGATGAAACCACAGTCGAAGGGAGTCGGTTGATATTGTTATCATGATGCATAGTCTATGCTTGGTGAATCAAATCCAGGCTGACCTGCGGGCAGTTGACATGTTTTGGTTTGGCATTGCCTCGGCGACGTTCAAGGTGCTGGTAATCTATGCACCGCAAATTCGCCTGAATCCCTGTCGATTGCAGCAATCATCTCGTTGATGGCGGATGTAGACTTGACTCCCTGGCTGTTACTTACATCGTACACGCGGGCCTTTTGTGTAGCCTTGAGAGTCCAAGTGGTGAAATTATTGAGGGTCCTCAATGTCAATGATTCTGTGACTTGTCAAAGAGGCGCGCTTTGGGTCAAGCGGGGGGTGGGCGTACGCGTGTCTTGCATGTCCTATCCGGTAGAACCATCGAGCGGGCCGTGAAGAGGATGTTTCACCGGCGAGGTAAACCATCGGCGCCATCATCTTCCTCGTTTGCTGAAATTGTTTATACTTAAAGCAGGCAGGACGGATGAAGGGGTGCAAGAAAGGTCATACCTGGCCGAGGTGGGTAAAGCGGGTGGCGACTTTCATGTCCTCAATAGGCTTGAAGCTGTACTTGAAGATGTATTCCTCGCCGTACAGGAACGGGAACCCTTCGGGACCCTCCTGCACCTTCACCTCCGAGCGTTCTTCGTCCTTGTCCACGATGAATCTGACGTTCACGGTTGAGAGAGGGCCGAGGGTATCGACAGAAGGCTGACTCATGGACTAGTGTTACCAAGAGACCCTCTGGGAGAATCAATAGTTCGGTCTATCGCATGGCCTGAGCTGAGAGAAAAGCGCAAGAAGTTGAACAAATAAGCTTCGAAGAAGGCATTGCAGAACAAGAACGATAACAACCGGTATATGCCCAACAACAAAACGGCACGAGGGAGAAGCG